ATATAGCAAAATAATGTCTAAGAATACCACTAGGATGGTGGTATTCTTGGAATCTCGGGTGTGGGAAAAATTTGATATTTTCAGTAATATTTAATAATCAACCAAACATAAAATCAGTAAACTTGAGCTAATATTTTCAATAATATTTTTGTCTGCCAAACAATATTTTAGTCACGTTTCTTAGAAAATCACTTTCTCAGCATATTTTTAGTAATAATGATTTTCAGGTTAAAAAAAAAGAATTCTCTACCAAACACCACTAAAAGAAAAATTAGAGTCATGAAATAAATTATAAAAAATAAGAAGATAAGGTTATTTTATTACAATTTTCAAATCAAGATAATACATTTTACTATTTGTGTATTTAATGAATACTATGCCTGAGAAAAAAAAATTAATACATTGTTTTCAATTTTTGTTCCTCGACTCCCGATTTATTCTTTATATTATAAGGAAAAAATTACTCTTATGTTACATGTGATAATTTTTTCTTTTACACACTCTTCGATAACTGTGTTACCTTTTTTATTTTTTTTATTTTTCAGGTGGTGAAGCCCACAAATTTATCTCTATGACATGAGATAACTTATCTCTTTTAACATGAGATTAATAAAATTCATATTATAAACACAAAGTTTTATCAAAAGTATGTTGTTCAAACTAAAAGTTAAAAAAATTAAGAACATGATCATTAATATCCTTATATAATTAAATAATTAAGATTCTGCATTAGCCAAAAGAAAGTGACAGGATAATGGTTATTATAGGTTATGTTATATTTTACCTCGCAAACCGCTATAAGCGACAAAAATAGGATTTGGTCAGAGTATGCAGCCGTGAAGACAAAAAAAAAAGTAATTCAGGGTTGCCAAAAGTCAAAATAACTTTACAAACAAAACATTTTAATATTTTATATAATAGAAAAATATTTATCCTTTTAAATACTATAATTTGTGTCATTTCGTTCTTATAAAGAGGTAGGACTCATATTTTTATTTTTATTTTATCCAATCTCTTTTTTTATTTAAAATAATATAGTTTTACATTTTTTAAAATGACACACTTTTTCAAGTATGATAAATGACTACGATGAGGAAAGTAAAAAAATGATTAATTTGATTCCTGAAAACCAATACCCACGAGGGGCTATCCAGGTGGAATTCAAAAGAAAACGGTGGAAATAAATATTAATTATAAAGTACATAATTAAAAATAAAGGAAATACAAAATATTATATTTGATATTTGAATTAAATTTAAATTTGAAAAGTGAAAGTAATTAATATACTATTATCGAAAAAAATAAGAAATATTTTAAAATATGTCTTCCTTCTATTTTTTTAAATTTCTTCAAGTTTTTTCAAATATTTTTTGAACCCCCTATATTTTTTATATCAACTTCTCTTATTTTTGTATAGAAGCTATTTCCTTATGTATAACAAAATAAAAGAATAAGTATAGTTTTTCCGGAAAATATTAGTTATATAATAAAACTAACAGAAAATTATTTATGCAGTTATTGTAAATAAATTATTTGTAATTTTTCTCAAAACGATGTCGTTTTGGGATTGAAAGATTAAAATATTATAATTATAAAGACTATAATGATCCTGAAATAAATTAAAATTATAAAAACATCACAATTTTCGTTCCGAAACGACGTCATATTGAGTTTACTGTAGATCTGTAGTGACTCAGAAAAAATGAACCCTAAAACTAAAGGGAGACCAATATAAATTAAAAAAAATATATAAATAATATTTTTGCCTTATATATCCATCCTTAAAAAGCGAAAAGTTAACCTGAAGAAGCAAAGCCAGTTAGGTGATCACCAACACTGTTACACCTAAAGTTCTTCATCTGTAATCCAGGGAGATGATAAGGTCCAACCTACTCTTCTTCTCTTCAATGCTGTGTCTTCTTTATGCATTCGCCAACTCCACCAACAATCACTATTGCGGTTACTCTCTTAAACTCATTCATTATTTTGTGCTAACATCTGTTAATGTTTTAATTTCTTTATTTTATTTTTATCTTCTTCGTTAATAAGAATGGAAATAAAGGTAGCTTAAGTCAGATTAATTATACTTTGTTTTAAACAGGCTTATTTGTTTTTCAAATATAGAGTGTGAACCTAAATTCTTGAAAGCCTATTTTACATCAAAGCCTTTAAACAGATTAGTAAGCCTATTTCTAAATAGGTTACTAGACTAGACTAGCAATCTATACTTTTGTTAAACTTACTTCCCATAAAGTATAGTAAAGAAAGTTATATTGAAAATTTGATAATTGTGTCATTTTATTTTATTTTTAGGTATACTTTTTTATATTATTTATAAAAAGGGTTTTATTTTTCTCCGACAACGGCGCCATTTTGTTGGTAGTAATTTTCCGAAGATAGAGTTATCGTTCTTAGGAACAGGTTGAATTAATTTCTTTTTCTTGGTTCTATTCCTTAATTCTTGGATTGTAGTAATCTCACTTTTAAACTAAAGAATTGAATGAAATTGATTTTGTAATTAAAACTCGATTAACAAATGGAACTAAAATGGTTAAGTAACAAATATCAACAATGAAAAGATTCTAGAATTCTTGAATCTTGGATTTTCCCAAAGAAATTCGCATTCCTGCGTTTTTTACTGCTAAAGCACTTTTATCACAGAATTTGAACTACTAAAGCACGTTTAGCTGGAACTTCCCAGTTCCAGATTTAATCTTCAAAAGAATCCTTTCCCAAGTTCTTTTGATTCTTTATACAAAAATGTCAAATTTTTCCTCTGGTTATCCCTAACCTCAAGGGTTTAATTAGCAAGAATGCATTCACTTGATTTTTCAATCATAGCTCATGCAAGAATGTTCAAGAATCTTTCCCAAGATTTCTTGAAACTAAGAGAGTTGCTAATCAAATGAGATAAAAAAATCACAACAGTGTTCGATAAAAAGAAGGATTATCCACTCATCTTGAGTTCCAGAAAAAGAAACTTGGAAATTCATATCAACAGGAAATGAAAAATAAATTCTGAAATTGAAATTGACATACATTACCAACTTAGAAAAAAAAAGGTTTAGGTTCAAACCAGTATTTTAGAAATGCAATATTCAGAAAATGGAAAATTTAGACTAGGAAAATACAAAACCAAAACTTGCATGTAGCTGAGTCATGGATCCCTCCAAGAAAGGAGTTTCACGCTTGCTCTTGATGAGAGAACTTGAAGAACAGAAGGAAAACTTAAGAAAAGTTCAAGAATCTAAAAGTGAAGTGTGAAAAACTAAAAAAATGAAAATTCTCTCTCTATGGCTTTAATGACTCAGACTCTTGTTTAACTAAAACTAAAGAGCTCCCCAAAATGCATTGCTGTCCTTCAGATTAACCAGCATCATACGGTTTAGATCTCTTTCAACTCAGCCAATTGTTCACGTGCTCTTAATTCCTGCAATTGAGTGGTAAAAACAGTAAGTAAATTTATCTAAATCTCACTTTTTTTATTACTTTTACCTTCATGGGCTGATTTCTCTACCTTTTGGGCCTTTCACCTGTTTTATTAATTCTTTCACAACCCAATAGGAAGTAAAATACAGGTAAGTATAGGTGTTCAAACAATCCAATTTTACACCTAACAACTAGCAGACTAGCAATCTATGCTTTTGTTAAACTTACTTCCCATAAAGTATAGTAAAGAAAGTTATATTGAAAATTTGATAATTGTGTCATTTTATTTTATTTTTGGGTATACTTTTTTATATTACTTGTAATAAGGGTTTTATTTTTCTCCCATTGTGGTAACAAATTTTTTCTCTTGCAAGACTAACTACATAAGAAAAACAAATAAAGAAAGTGAGAGGAGTTTTAATGAAAGTGATAAAACGATATTGTTATTTATCTTGCATGAGACAATTTTTGTTCATGCAACAAAAGAAAAACAAAGTCCTTGGAACAATATTTACATATAATTTAAATTTCCGTCCATCTTCTCTTGCTTACTTAATTTTTATTGTTAGCTCTCACTAAAAACAATATTAATATCGTCCATCTTACGTTAGAGTCAGAAGATCCCTCCCCAAATTTTAAATTTATATGTATAATTTAAATAAAAATATCATTATATTTATTTTAACATGTTCATTAAATTTTTTTACAACATAAAATGTTTGTAACCTTTACTCTTTAATTTTTTATTTAACAAAATAATTTTCAACTCATCTTAATTATATCTTGTTAAATTATTGTTGAAGATGTTATATAGTAACCAAAATATTTATTTATTATGTTATTTCATATTTATAAAAATATTAATACATCTTATGCTAATATTATTACTATATATAAAATAAAAAATATCTTGACGAAACAAGCACAAATTAAGTAGAATTATAATATTATTTAAAATAAATTTCTTTATTCAAGAGACCCACCATGGAGAAGCCTACGGAAAACCATATATACAATAATACAAGGGGGAAATTAAGGTGATGAGGAGGAGACTTATTATACTGTAGGATTTAAAGTTGCATATATTTTACAAATATCAAAAAAGTAACTCACGATAAATATTTATTCAGATATTTTTATTATTAAAACTTGTTATATTAAGATTGAAAGAAATTCTTTTTTATAAATATGTAATATATAGAATAACATTTTTAAAGCATTTTAATAATGTATATTTCATAATAAAATGTGTATCTTTTTTAATTTATTAAGAATTAATATACTTTTATTACTAGTTAAAAAATTAAAATTGAAAACATTGAAAAAGATGATAATATTTTTTTTAATAAAAACAAGTAAAATAAATAAAAATTCAAAAAATAATTATAAATTAAAAAAAATAAGAACTTAAAAAATGTCAGAAAATAGATAAACCCTTGTGCTACATAAAAAATGATTGAATTCAACATGGTTAGGAATTTAAGATTGGTGAATACTTTTAATTGTTTTGTTATTTGCAAGCCACCACATATAGTATTACTGACTGCCACTTCACATTGATAACAGCAAAAATGGAAGGTGAACATGGTGCATTGGTGAGGGGAGACAAACTCATACTGAAGGGATTGATGTTCTATGGTTTCCATGGTACAATGCCAGAAGAACGGAAGCTGGGTCAGAAATTTTTGGTAGATTTAGATGCCTGGATGAATCTCAGTGTAGCTGGTAAATCTGATAACTTGTCAGATACAGCTTGTTACGTAGAAATATACAAGTAAGTCTGCAACATTAATCATTAATATGGTTTTAAACAAACGAAAAAATATTTGTCATTCAAATAACATAACTTATATCATTTTACTTTCATAAAGAGATGAGATACACATTTTTATTTTTTTTTTATCCACTTTTTTTTCTCATGATCTATCTTTTTCTCTCTCTTAAAATGATACAACTTTATATGCTTTGAAATAATTCACATTTTTCTCTTGCACAAATGCATAAGTACTTGTTATTATATGTTAAAAATATAATATAAATTTATCATATATATATATATTATAAAAATTGTTTACGTGTCTTCATCTACTATATTAATATTTTGGGATGTTTGTTAATAATATGGTATTATAGTTTCTATATCTTAAAGATATATAAAATTGTTAATGTAGCTTTACCCAACAATTTAAGTTTTTAGATTGAATTAGTTCTTTAGGTTTCAAAGCTTCACTGTCACATGTTTGATCCTCACCATCTCATTTAATTAATAATTAATTAATTTTTGTAGAATTTTTTTGCACAGATAGATGAGTCTATGCATTATCTATCTTTCAAACCCAGTGAGCTTTTGTGTGATGGAGCGTATTAGAGATATATAAAACCATTAATATAATCTCATTCAACAACTTGAATTTTTGGGTTGGATCGGTTCTTTACACTATAATTAAACGACTCAGAGTTCAATCCTTATTATTCTTATTCTATTGTTGAAATTTTTAACATCGGTTGAATGTGCCTGTATATTATTTATCTTTCAAGTTCAAGGAAAATGTATTAAAAATGTAATATAAAAATAATTCATGGGTTTGATTCATGAGATAAAAACTTAAGCTTTCATCACATCCTTGTGTTTTCTGTAAGTAATTTGGTAAATTATATAATCTGATTAACATATATGAATTCGTATTGGTGAATGCAGTATAGTTAAAAAAGTTCTTGAAGGGTCACCTCACAATCTCTTGGAGTCAGTGGCTGAACAAATTGCAAACATTACTCTAACCAAGCAACACAAGGTTTGTGCTGTTCGTGTGAAAATTGGAAAGCCTCATGTGGCAGTTCCGGGTCCAGTTGATTCCTTAGGCGTTGAGATTCTTCGACACAGAAGTTATGTGGCAAACTAAAGCTTTCATATTTATTGATGTATGTTTTATATTTCTTTGAAGTTCCATTTAACATGGAATTGAACTCTACCAAAATAGAATAAAAAATAGATGATAAAATGTTTACTAGCAAAATAGAAAAAATAAAGATGAACTAAAATAAAGTTAGAGATGCTGATTTTGTTTGCGCAGGTTTATGTTTCGGAGTTGTTCCAGTGTCTGAATTATTGAGATTAATTTTTGGGTTATGGGTTCAATGGGACGTGTTTATTCCTGAATTTGTAACTGATTGTATGTTCCAATGGTTTACCTATTGGGGGGGAAGTTGCTTAAATAATGCTATGAGGATTGAGATTAAGTTTGATTGCATGCTACTCTCTTGTGCAACACCCTAAATTCTCTTGCTTACTTAATTTTTATGGATTAGCGAAGTATATCATTAGATGGACGATATTAATATTTTTTTATTCTATTCTACTGGTTAGACCTAGAGATGTGCATGGGTCGAACTGAACCGAATTTTTTGAAAAACCGAACCGAATTGGTTTAAATGGTTCGGTTCGGTTAGAAACGATTCGATTCGGTTCAGAATCGGAATCAGTTCGGGTCGACCCTATTTTGAAAAGAAAAAAAATTAAAATTTTAAAAAATAAAGTTATAAGAATCAATTTGGTTTGGTTCGAAAACGGTTCGGTTCGGAAACGGTTCGGTTCTTAAACTGGTTCTAAAAACCGGTTCGGTTCATAAATTGGTTATTTAAAACTGATTCGGTTCATGAACTGGTTTTTGAAAATCGATTATTTTAAGCGCAGTTCAGTTTGGTTCATGGTTCGGTTCAATTTTTTGGTTACTTTACACACCCCTAATTAAACCAAGTCGGGCATAATTACAGACGCAACAAAAAAATTTCTATCAAGTTTTTAACACAGTTGCAGCTCAATATTCAAATTCGAGATATACTGGGATAATCCCTACCCACATGCTTGGTGATAATTTATGTTTTTTTTTTTTTGGTACATTGCCAGAAGGTATCCCCATTCAACCTTCTCCGGGCACCATGCCCTCGGGGTACGGCCTGATTGGGCTAGCCCCTCATTATAACAGTGGGTACACTAAGCTTCGCAACCGGAGAAAGGACGAGACTAATCCCCCAACCGAAGATTTTTAGCTTATCCTCTGACCCCCAAAGATTTTCTAAGAAACTGCTTGAGGCAGGGTTTGATCCTTGCACCAAGCAATCCCTTGGGAGCTCAGCTGCCAACTGAGCTACCCTTGGAGGTTATAATTTATGTTTTATATGTCTTTGAGGCAGGATTTGAATACCCGAGTCAAAAGTTATGGCTTTCAAAAGTTTTATGATTAAATTAATTTTTTTTTTGGAAAAAAAATGACACGTGTCAACACCTGATGAGTGACGCCCCATTGGGGCGTCTCCCTTTAGGGTGAGACGCCTCAATAGGGGTTCACATGTGACACCCAAGAGGGGCGTCACATGTGACCCCAAGAGGGGCGTCACATTGTGCAATAGATCTGTAATTATTCCCAAAACTGTAATAAATGCGTAATTATTTTATTAAAAAGCATTAAATTAATTTTTTTGCCCTAGTATACCTTTAGATATGTGGAGTTGTTGCTCAATAATTTTGAATGTTTGTTAAAAATTATATTATGTTTTAGTGATTGAGAAAATTATATTATGTTTTACTTTTTTTTATTAATATCATTGCATTCCTTTTTTTATTGACTCTTATAATTTTGAATGTTTGTTAAAAATTCATATGATTTTTTAAAATCTTATAAATCCATATTATCCTTTCAAATCTTATAAATTCTATTAAAACCATTTAAAATCCAATCTTATGGAATCTTGATTGTAGAAAAAGTCTTTTAAAAAATCCTTTAAAGTTCCTCCAATTCTAAATAGTCTTTTAAAATCTATAAGAATTTTTATCTCACAAAAAATCTTTTAAAATCCTAATCCAATCCAAGAAGAGAGAGTGGTAGTAAGATTTGTTCCGATTTGAAATGTGTACTTGGTAGGTATTATTTTTAGCTTTTTTTTTTTTTATAAAAAAACAGAAGTTTGTCAAATATAAAAAGAGCCTTTTTAATAATGAATCAAGAAAGGAAAAAAAAAAAAAACTCCTATGAATAAATTTTTTAAGATGTATGTCAATTTTTTTAAATTTTCTAAAGCTCCAAAGACCAAAATCATAATGATTCTAGTCTTCTCCGTGGGGCTTGGTAGAGGAAAAAATTTATTTTACCAGAAAAATACAATTACTGGGGAAATGGTGAAAAATTGAGTTCAGCAGAAAAGTTTAAAAAAAATTGTTTGGTAGGTCGAAATATTACTGAGAAAATTGAGTTAATTTTTCTGAGATTATGTTTGGTTGAAGGTAAAATATTGATGGAATAATGGATAAAAATTACGAAACTAACCTTTTTAACTTTTGAATATGAATAAAAAAATAACTGTAACCTAAAAGTGATAAACGAGGGTCATGAAATCTTGCAAGTGGTTTTTTCGTCTACAGATTGGCACTCATTTTTCCTTGACTGGGTAAACACAAAATACCACCATGCAAGTGATTTTCTGAAACAGTGATAAACATGATATTTTGCAAAGAAATCGCCAAGGCTGAGGCAACTGATTTTCCTACTTAAATTTTTTTAACTCTGTTACCAAACATGGTAAGTTCAATCCTAATTTTTTTTTTGGGTATCTATACCAAAAACCTCTACTAAACGGTGAATTTAAAATGTTAAATCCTTCATCTAATGCATGTGCTTAATATTTGACAACCATTTGAACAACCTTTATGCTATGAAATCATAAATCAACATATAACTCATCTATTGCACTTGAAGAATCTATGGATCATATCAATTAATAATTCTATAATGCGGAATTGATTTGCGTAAAAAATCATTGTAATGTTAAAAAGTAGCTTAAGAAAAGCTTCTTTCCTTGATTATAGGTAAAATTAAATTATTTTTGATACACAAGGTTAAATTAATTTTTTTTTTGGTAAACAGGTTAAATTAATTTTAACGAACAACAAAGTGTGTTTAATTGCGTAAAAATTTATCAAACACAATAGTGCTTGTTTGGATTGACTTCTTTTCCTTTAGAATCAGCTATTTTTTAAAAAAAGTGCTTTTAAAAGTTTTTGTACATTTGGATGTGAGCTATTGCTAAAAGCAGAAGCCAGGCACGAAGCCAAAATATGGCTTTTTTGAAAAGCTAAAAATTGTAGCTTTTGAGAGAAGGAGAAGCTGAAAGCACATAAAAAATTATCCTGTTACAATTTTACCCAGAAGGATCCCTTTCATCTGTACCAGCGTTCTTGTTCTTCCCGCCGAGTGTCAACTCATATAACTCAGAATAAAGCTTCTTCACAGACTGAGATCACGTAGTTGTAGTATGTAGTAGCTAACGTGTATTACTTCTACGTCCACGTGTATTGATTCCATTGGTCCCTAGTTTCATGGAGTTAGTTACGTTTCTGTTTACAGTGTAGTTGTAATTAGTATAAAGCTTTCTGTATAGTCTTTTTCAGTTTTGTTCTTCACCATGTACTATATAAGTGAACTAACAAATCTTCAGTTCACAAGATTCAATAATATGCATTTTAGTAAAACCTTCTCTGATAAGATGGTATCAGAGCTTCTCAAGAAGCTCTGATTCGCCATTTGTTTTCGATTAGCTTTCGATTTTTCTTTCTACTTCATCAATGGCGAATCAGAGCTTAGCCTTTGATTTTATCTCAAATCCTTCTCATCCATACTACCTACACCCAAGTGAAAATCCATCTCAGGTGTTAGTATCAACCTTGCTTGATGGAAGAAACTACCATGTGTGGTCACGAGCTATGTCAATGGCTCTACTATCCAAGAATAAAATTGGCTTTGTTGATGGAAGCCTGCAATCACCTCCTATAATGGATCCAACTTATGCTAGATGGCAACGATGCAACACCACAATATTGGCTTGGATTCACCACTATATTTCTCCATCGATTCTACAATCGATTTTATGGATTGACAAAGCAGAAGATGCTTGGAAGGATCTGAAGCAACGTTTTTCACAAGCAGACATTTTCAAGATCTCAGACTTACAAAAAGATATATACAAGCTGAGACAAGGAGATCGAAATGTAGCTGATTATTTCACACAGTTGAAAGGATTATGTGATGAATTGGAAAACTTGAGACCACTGCCTACTTGCCAGTGTCCTATGGCCTGCAACTGCCCTGCACTCACTGAAATCCGGGTGCGCAGAGATCAAGATCACACAATAAGGTTCTTGAAAGTTTTGAATGAGCAATATGCTCATGTAAGATCTCAAATTATGTTAATAAACCCTATGCCTGATGTTAATAAAGTTTTCTCCATGCTAGTTCAGCAAGAACGATAGTTTCATCTCAATATTTTGACTGGTGATGTTTCAAAGGTCTTTTTGAGTCAATCAGATGAAAACAGAAGAAACTCCTTTCAAGGCAGAGGCAGAGGTCGATCAAGTTACAATGGAGGTAGAGGACAAATACGTGAATCAAGGTTCTATACTCATTGTAAGATGAGCAACCACACTATAGAGACATGCTTCTTCAAGCACAATTTTCCCCCACGGTACAAAAGAAAAATGGCAAATTGTGTTGTGATGACAGAAAATGAGGATAAGAGCACTGATATGCAGAATGCGACCTTGTCTTCCAAATAGTTCATGATATTATGCAGACTATGCAATGCTTCAAGGATTCTGCCAATATTTCTACTCATTCGAGTCCTTCACCAAATTCCACATTGACCACAGAACCTAACAGCCATGTCAACCTTGTGTCTACTTCAACATTAAATGCAACCACCAACAACTCTGGTTCAGGTAATCAGTTGCATTGGATCCTTGATACTGGTGCAACTGATCACATAACATCCTCCTTTTCAAATCTTGTTTCATTTCATAAAATTCATCTTGTTTCTATCAATTTACCAAATGGTTCCAAGGTCATTTCATCTT